TGGTGATATATTTCAGCAGTGCCTAACAGTAAAGAGAAAAGATTGCATGGTAAAGTGCTGTTACTTCTGTTCTGATTGTTAAAGGGCATACTCTTTAAGACACAATCTTAGTTATCAGTCCTTAGAGACAAGAGCTCTAAAGGTTTCTTTTTCCTTTCCTTTCTTTCTTTCTTTTTTAAATTTTTAAATTTTTTATTTTTTTGGCAGCAGGCCGGTATGGGGATCCAAACCTTGGCCAGATGAAAGTTGCCCTTACCAGTGATGTCATGTTGATAGCATGTACCCCTGATATGATGTGATCAGAAGGGAATTTCACCTTTGCAGTATTCTTCCCCAAAGCAGTAACCCCATGAGGAAAACATCAGAAAAACACAAATACAGGGATCCTACAAAATACTTGGACAGCACCTCAAAACTGTCAATGTTATGAGAAACAAGGAAAGAATAAGAACCATCACAGACGAGAGGAGACTGTACAAAAATGGTGACTAATTGTGATGTGTTTTTTTTTGGAAGTGATCCTGGAAAAGAAAATGGATATTAGTGAAAAAACTGGTGAGCTCCAAACCAAGTCTGGAATTTAGTTAATAGTACTATAACAATATCAGTTTCTTAGTTTTGACAACTGTGCCATGATGATGTAAGTTGTCAATGATAAGAAAAGCTGGGTGAAGAGAATGTGAGGACTTTCTGTACTATCTTTGCAACTTTTCTGTAAATCTGAAATTATTCCAAAATAAAAATTTTCTTTTTAAAAAATTAATTTTATTTCTATTTACTAGCATGACCAGTCCAAAATTGAAATTAAGAAAATATTTTCATTCACCATGGCATAAAAAAATAAAATGCCGAGCAATAAAATTTTCCAAAAATGTGCAAGACTCATACAATAAAAAATACAAAATATTTCTGAGGAAAGATAAAGAAGATCTAAATAAACAGATAGAAATTCCATGTTCATGGATTTAAAAACTCAATATTGTTAAGGTGGTAATATTCTTCAGATTAATATATAGATCCAACACATTCCTCACCAAAATTCCAGCTGGTATTTTTGCAGAAATTTACAAGCTTATCTTATAATATATAATAAAAAGAACCAAAAAGAAAAAGAAATCAAGTTGGAGGACTTTCATTTCCTGATTTCAAAACTTGCTGTAAAGCAATTACTAAGTCTGGTACTAGCATAAGGATAGATATATAGATAAATGAAACGGAACTGAGAATCCAGAAATTAACTCACACTTATGGCCAACTTATTTTTGACAAAAATGCCAAAAGAATTTAATGGGGGAAAAATAGCTTTTTAAACAAATGTTGCTGGCATAGTCAGATATACACATGCAAAAGGGACACATTTAGTCCCTTATCTCACACCACATACAAAGATTAACTCAAAAAGGATCAGGTACTTGATCCTAAGTAAGAGATAGAACTTATTAAATTTTTAGAAGAAAACATAGAGGAAAATCTTCATGATGTTGGGTTAGGTAAAGAGTTCTTAAAACAAAATTCATGAAAGAAAAAATAATAATTTGGACTTTATCAAAACAATATCTTTGCTATTCAAAAGATACTGTTATAAAATTAAAATACAAGCTACAGACTGGGAGAAGATATTTACAAATTATATATCCAATAAGGGTCTAGTGTACAGAAGAACTCTTACAACTCAACAACAAAAATACAAACAACCTAATTTTTAAATTGGCAAAGTGCTTGAGTAGATATTTCTCCAAAGCAGATGTACAAATGGCCATCAAGCACATGGAAAGATGCTCAACATCACTAGCCATCTGGGAAATGTAAATCAATAACACCATGAGAAACCACTTCACACCCGCCAGGATGGCTGTTATAAACAAAACAAAGCAAATGGAAAACACAAAGTTTTGACCATGTGGAGAAATGGGGACCCTCATACGCTGCTATTGGAAATGCAAAATGGTAGAGCTGCTGTGGAAATTAGTTTGGCAATTTCTCAATAAATGAAACATAAAATTACCATATGATCCAGAAATTTCACTCCTAGGTATATTCCCCAAAGAATGTAAAACATATGTCCACTCGAAACCTTGCACACAAATGTTCATAGCAGCCTTATTCGCAATACCCAAAAGATGGAAACAACCCAACTGATACAGGGATAAACAAAATGCGGTCTATCTATACAATGAAATATTATACAGCCATGAAAATGAATGAAGTATCGATACATGCTACAGCACGGATAAACCTTGAAAACATTATGCTCAGTGAAAAAAGCCAGTCAGAACATACATATTGCATGATTTCATTCATATAAAATATTCAGAACAGGCAGGGCAATAGGCACAGAAGGTAGATTAGTGACTGCCTAATGCTGGGGGTGGTAACAGGGATTGACTGCAAATGGGCAAGGGGGATGTCACTGAAGTACTAAAAATGTCTAAAATTGGATTGTAGCGATGGTTCACCACTCAATAAATTTACTAAGAATCCTAAAAGTGTATACTTATGGTATGTAAATGATATCTCAACAGAAATTTTGACCAGCCACCAAAACAAACAAGCAAACAAACAGAAAACTACAAAACAACCCCAGAAAGCTCATCTCTTCATGTCGACAACGTATCAGGCATCAAACAGAGCTCATTAGGCTGTTGAGCGATGTTGTAGTGTTGGTGGTGGCAGTGGTGACGGTAGGGGTAGTGGTTATCCCTTGAGGGCTGAGGGTCAAGCGATGATTTGGTCTTTTAAAATAAAAATTAAAAAGTCAATTAAAAAAGAATGTTGCTGGCTTGGGACTTGGAGTAGCAGCGAGGGCAAAGAGAAGCGGATGGATTTTTTAAATATTCAGGGTGTAGAAGTGGCAAGATTTTGTACTGATTAGACATAGGGAGTGGGGAAGAGTGAGCCTGCCTCCGACTGAGCATGCTTAGAGCTGAATTCCTGTTGTCCTCCCAAACTTGCTGTGCTCCCGTACTGCCAATCTCAGGGAGTGGATCAGCATCCCGGCACACAGTAGGCATTCACTGATTGTCTCTGGAGTGGACAGAGTATCCTGAAGAGAGTAAAAATATCCTAAGCAAAGCAACCACTAGGTCCTGCCAAGCGGCCAGTCCTAAAGTCACCCTGAAGGTCGGCGCAGCAGATGTCCAGCACGGCTTCCCTCTCACTTTTCAGACCACTTGGGAAATCATCAGGTCCTTCCCTCCCCCAGAAGAACACCCAGTTTTATATCAATCCCTCCTGCTTAGGACCTGCAAGTGTGGCACAGGCCAGGTTTTCCAGGAGTCTCATATCCCGTAAACCTTTACACGGGGCAATGGCAGGTGCATGTATAGCCCATATAAGCGTGAGGGACATTTGGTATTGTACAAAGAAGGTCACTGCGGTGCCTGACAGCTGGTGGATCTATGTTCAGTTTGGCTTCAAGCAGGGAGAGATTCTTCCCACCAAAGAGGTTTATTAATCCAGGGGTCTCCCTCCCCAGCCCTGACAGGCAGAAAACAACTGCCAGTAACATTGTAGACACCGAGTGGTCAGTTTGGATATTTTCCTGCTGTTCCCAGGGTTGACAAGCAGAGATACAGAACTACTTGTGGTTCCTGACACAGACACTAAAACGAGGAAGTGACCGTCCCTGTCCACACTTCCAAGAAATAAAGAACTAGGTGGGGCATGCTAAACAAGCCCCCAGATTCAACCACCCCAGTGAACATTCCGTTTATCACACCGGCAATGAAATAAAGTATAACTTCATTAAGTATTGTAAAAACCATATTTACCTCCCATAGTTGTGAAAATTATATCCACAATTCCAAGAAATAAAGAACTAGGTGGGGCATGCTAAACAAGCCCCCAGATTCAACCACCCCAGTGAACATTCCCTGGTTATAGAAGAGAAGTGAAATTTGCAGCCCAGAACCGAAATCTGGTTAAGCGAGCAGTTGAATTGTGGGTGGAGACACTTGATGAAGTACCATTTTTTAACCCTCTTTTAGACAGTATCATTGAATAAACATCCTTTTCAATGATAAAAATCCAAGTCATTTCTGGCCCTTTTCCCAGAAGAGCTGTCAGGTTACACGAACCTTTTCTGGGCATAGAGCCCAGGACTCTAAGAGAGGTTCTAGAGAACATCTGGTCTGCTTGATATATAGAAGCCAGCACTGCATGCATGTGTTTGTGTGTATGCGTTTCTCCTATGCTGACTCATAGCATTGAAGCCTCTCTGGAAACACCCCCACCCTTCTAGCCAGCCAGTTTACACACACCCCTTTGGCTCCTCCTTGATTCAAATGTTAGGTCAAGAGGAAAAAGGAAAACAAATTCAAGAGCTGCTCTTAAGTGTCTAGAATTTTCTGTGTCCCACCCTTGAGAGAAGAGACTGGCCCCAGATCTGACTCACTACACTACAAGATAGACTCTCCTCTTAAAGCACCAACATTACTTGAGCCTTTGGATAAAACTGAAGAAGTGTCCGCAAGTATTGTGGACCCTGCAGGAGGTGGGGGGCTGGCAACTGGCGGTAAAGACAAGAAGATGGCAGGCTTGGGGCCCAACACTCAAGCAGACCCTGAAATTGAGCTTTTTGTGAAGGTAAGATTTCCAGCTATAATAATGGCATACAGAATGTATGATTTCTTGACACAGGAGTTCAACTTCTTAAAAAAAGTCTCAATATTTGAGCTGGAGATAAGGAAGAATTTTGTAATTATTTTCGCACTCTGAGTCCTATGAGAATGTCTGGGTGTTTGACTGCTCTTAGATGTCAACGGGAAAACAGATCTCATCTGACAAAGGCAAGGTGATATGATGCGGTAGAAAGAGCGCTAGACTGGTTGGTAGTCAGAACGACTGAGACTGAATCGTATTCTCAGTGGCTTCCTATGTAACCTTGGAAAACTCCCTCCCTCCCTCCATACCTTTGTTTTTCCGTCCATACAGTGCAGGAGCCTAACAAAACGATCCTTAAAGGGCTTTTCAGCTCTCACAATCTGTGTTTTATGAGATAGGTTTTAGAAGGCCTGAATGGGTGGAGGAGAGGGCCAAGTATGACCTGAGAGCCCCATTTCTACAAATAGCCCAGACAGAACTTACTAAAAGTCTCCCACAGTGGACAAACATCACAGCAGAGGCACATAGGTACTGTGGGAGAAAAAAGCCAGGAGTCTGTTTGCCTGTTATGTGAGGAGGAGGCATTTTAGAATGCTGTGCTTCCTCTTTTTGGTCTGCTATGGAGTTTTTTAAAAACATGTACTAATTTTTCAGAAAAGCACTTTGGAAAACCCCTAAAGCAGGAGAAAGGAACATGTGTTTCCAAATGAGCTCATCAAGAAAAAAAAATTTTATGGGTTATTCCAAGTAGAAATTAGTTTCCTAAATCCTTGTTTACATTAACTGTTTAGTTTTCCCCTGCGTTTTCATTGACTATTGGAAGTATTCGGGATAATGATAATAATAATAATAATAATAATAATAATAATAATAAAAAATTTATATTGTGCCTGGCCCTTTTCTAAACATTTTACATATATTACCTCATTTAGGCCTAACAACTTAAAAAGTAGGTTACCATTAACAGTAATAGCAGTACTAGTATCATCAGTAGTAGTAGCAATAGTGGTAATTACTTACTGCGATATTGTAGTAATACTGTCCTTGTCATTACTAGATAAGTAAACTAAGGCAATAAAGTTTAAGTAAGTTGCCTCTAAAAGTGTATAGCCTCTTGTTGGCTTACAAAGACATAAAATAAGGTATGCTTACCAATGTTAAATTAAACATCTGTTGTCCAAAATAATACTTTTACAGCCATTTTAGATTATTTTACAACTGGTTACATATATACAACAATGACGTAATCAATTCGTCTTTTCAAAATTATGATACAGAGACTCTTGAATTCCTGCATAGCAAAGTAATCCAAGTAAGTGTTTTGCTGGACTATAGGGAATGAGAGCTATTTCTCCTATCTCTGGATTGTAGCAAAATGTATGGCTGCTCACACAGTTAGGGTATAAATGAGCTCTAATTTCCTAAATGACCTTTTACATCTAACAGTTCCAAACCAGAGGTATTGTCTCTTCATAAGGTAACTAAAGTGTTCATTTTGTCTAAACTGTTCGTTCAATTCATCAGACTCCTCAAATCAGTTGTTGACAATGATCTGTGTGTTTATCTTTGTAGCCTTCCCATATTTGGGTGATAAGCTGGAAGGAGAGGTTGCAAATTACATATTGAATCAGCAAATGCTGAATTAAGTAATAGCTTTCATTTTAAAGTAACCAATCATTTACTGAGTACTTGCTATAGGGTAGGCACTGTACGAAGTGGTTTATTATTAGCCCCATTTTATGGATACAGAAACTAAAGCCAAGAGCAGTTAAGTAAGTTTGTGCAAGGTCACATAGTTAGTGAATGGCAGAGTCAGAATTCCAATCCTTTAAAACAGCTATGTGTAATATTATTCAATTATTTTCAATGGGGTGAATTTTTTAGTAAAGTTTTCCAGAATTTCATCAGGTGGAACGCTTTAGATTTAAGCTTATCTAATGACATTAATATAAATTACAGATTTTCTAGAAGAACCTTGAGTATCATCTGGTCCAGCCTTTTTTACTTTGCTTTAAGATGTGTTCTACAGATCTCTAGGCATTTCATGGAAGATACTGAAAGGGGGAATAAGGATTAAGAAGGGTGAAAAATGCTAATGAGTAAGTTTAGAAAGCATTGTTATTTCCGAATGGTATCTCACTTGTAGACAATGTGCTATCTTTCTAAAGAGTAAATGAGTCTATGATTTCCTCCAGCTACCTCTGGCTGTGGTTTAAAAACTGTACCACAACTTCTTTCCCATACCGCTGATGGGGTCCGTGAAGAGATTAAGCACTTTCCCATCACAATTAAGAATCTATATCATACCACCTATGTGTTCCATGTGGGCAATAAAAACATTGCCTTTCAGCTCTGAAAAGCTGAATGATTTGAACAAAATGTAAACATTTTGCGGGAACTAAAAACAAAGGACTTTATAACACACATTTTATTTTCTCTAAATACTGTTCATTTTTAAATGAATGTTTGCATTCTCTACCAAACACTGTAAAATTACTTGTAGTAGATCTGTACAGAACGTAAAATTATGTAACACTTGGGCCAAAATCCTGAAAGCAATACTTTTGGCAAAAACTTTTTTTAGTGTGTGGGAAGGAGGGTAGAGATGGTATTCTTCTCTGAATGTTTGGACCGTTTTCAAACTCTTTTCAAACTACCATAAAGACTGAATAACTAAAAAATCCAGCAGGGTAAAGAAGTGTTTGAGAGTGTGGGTTCTGGGGGAGACAGTCCCCGATTTAAGTCAGAAGAGTATGTATGTCATCTGAGTGTACGTGAGCAAGTCAGCCTCTCTGAGCCTCAGTTTCCTCACCTGTAAACAAAGGTAATAGCAGAACCTATCTCACAGGATCATCCTCATTATGAGGATTAAATGAAATAAGTATGTAAAGCCTGCTAGTTGGCAACATACTAAATACTCAATAAATGTTAGCCATTGTTGCTATTATTATTTTTCATGTTTAGAAACTTTTATCACAAACACAAAGAGAAAAAGTTGTACTGGTGAATGCCCACATCCTGTCTGTCAGCTAAAGATATTTGAGAGGTAGGTAATTCATCAGTTAGGCTAGAGAATTTACATCCTAAAATTTTATGTGATGGCACTTTAAATCAGCATAACATCAACAGAACAAAACTTCAGTTTTCCTGTAAAACTTAACTGCGTTTCCCCACGCTGCAGTGTTTTGACTCTCCTATTGCCAAAGGTGATCCACCCTTCCTGGGGTGTCTATTATCAGACTCAGTTCTTCCTGCCTCCCACCCCAATCAGTTCTGATTGGATCCTTAGTCTGACTTCTTTACAAAAGAAATGAAACTGCCAACAGAACAACGATAAACATCATTTCCTCTTTTTCACCAACCGTCAGGGAAAAGGAAGTTTGCCAAAAAATTGAAATTATGCCCAGGGTTTCTGAGACCTTAGTATTGCTACAAATAACGGATCAGAGCAGCGGTTAAGACGAACATTTTATTTCCTTCTACAGGCTACATACTAGTTGCTAAGTGACTGAAGCAGAAGAGAAACAATTGTGTCCAAGAGATGAGACATGCTGAAAGCTTGGACTTGGTAGCTAGCATCTAGTAGGGCCTGACAGGTACCAAGCCTCAAGCAGACATTGAATAAATGAATGAACGAATGACTACGGCAAGGGAGAGAACTGAACTTATTTTAGAGATATTTAGTAGGTAAAATTGACAAGAATTAGTATTGGATTTAATGTTAGGAGTAAAGCAGAAGGATGATTCCCAATTTTCTAGCTTAGGCAATTGGGTGGATTGCAGCTCAGGCTGCCATAACAAAATAGCACATTTTGGGACGTTTAAACAATGTAAATTTATTCCTCACAGTTCTGGAGGCTGGAAGTCCAAGAGCAAGGGGCCAACATGGTTGTATTCTGGTGAGAACTCCCTTCCTGGCTTGTAGATGGGCTCCTTCTTGCTATGTTTTCATATGGCAGAGAGAGAGAGCAAGCTCACTGGAATCTCTTCTTGTAAGGACACTAATCCCATCATGAGGATCACATCATTATGACCTCATCTAAACCTAATCATCTTCCAGAGGCCCCTTCTCCAAATATCGTCACTTTGGGGATTAGAGCTTCAACATATGAATTTTGGGGGGAAACAATTCAGTCCACAGCAGATGACAGTGCCATTCAGAAGTTTAGGAGCCTTAAAGAAAGAATAGGTCAGTGTATGGAGTAAAGACAAGGGGTTAAATTCAATTTGGGACATATTTAGATTAAGGTGCCTAAAATTCTCTATCTCCCATGAGGACACTCCATCAGCTATAGCCATCTCAAGAAATAGCTGCCTTTTCTTCCTCATTTCTTTTAACATTGAGCCTGGAGTTGGAGTGGGTGCCCTTTAAGTATCCTTGCTCCTCATTGCTGTTTCCAGACTATTCCTACCTCCCCCATCCAGAGAAATACCTAGCTTGAGTCTGATAAAATCAGACTAAACTGCCCACAACCCCTCCTTTTTCTAATAATCTTCCAAGCCCCAGGTTACTCTCCCTCATTTGTTGAGGATCATTGTCACTCTCTTCAGTACTACCCCAACATAATTCTTGGTGGTTTTAATATCTAATCGGATGATCCTCTCAACACTCTGGCATCTCAAATCCTTGACTTCCTCTTCTCCAGGGATCTTGTTCTTTGTCATGTCTCAGGTACTCCCATCCCCTGGTCATACCCTTACCTTTGTCATTGCGATGTCTAAAACTCCCGCATAATATCATTTATTTTTTTCCCTGCTTTTTGATCTTTTCTATTTTAATACACTTTACTGAGATATAACTTACATAAAATAAAATTCACCCATTTTAAGTGTATGGATCAATGACTTTTGACAAACGTATACTCACAATGTAACCACCACTCCAATAAAATCATAGACTATATTCATGACCTCAGAAAGTTCCCTTGTGTCTCTTTGTAGTCAGTCTTCCCCACTCTACCCCACCTACCACACCACCCCCCAGGCAACCACTGATCTGCTTTCTGTCAGCATAGATTAGCTTGCATTTTCTAGAATTTTCTATAGATGGAATGATACAATATATGCTCTTTTTTGGTTGCCTACATTCACTCAGCATAATTATTTTGAGATTTGCCCATGTCATGTGTACATCAATAGCTTATTCTTTTTTATTGCTGAAGTACTCCATTCTATGGATGTACCATAGTTTGTTTATCCATTCACCCACTGAAGGACATTTGCCTTGGTTCCAGTTTTTGCCTATTGTGAATAAAGTTGCTATAAACATTCATGTACAAGTCTCTCTCATATGCTTTAATTTCTCTTAGGAAAATACCTAGGATTGGAATTTCTGGGTCATATGATACGTATGTGTTCAACTTTGGCAAAATCTTTTATAAAGCAGTTGTACTATTTTACACTCTAAACAGCAATGCATTTGAGTTCCAGTTGCTCCACATCCCTGGCAAAAGTTGTTATGGTCAGTCTTTTTCCTTTCAGCTATTTTAATATGGTTATGGTGGTATCTCACTGTGGCTTTAATTTGCATTTCCCTGATAACTAATGATGAGCATTTTTCTGTCCTTTGTAAAGTGTTCAAATCTCTTGCCCATTTTTAAAGTTAGGTGGCTTGTTCTTGAGTTGCATGAGATTTTTATTCATGATTTTTATATATTTTGGATACAAGACATTTCTCATTTTCTTAATAGTTCTTTTGAAAAGCACATTTCAACTTTAGACAGATTCCACATAGATTTTTCTGGGTTTCTCTGTTACACACACATAAAATGCACTTCCTTACTGACGGATCTTGGACGTGACCAGCGCCATTGTGCACAGGATAAGCACAAAATAGCCGCTGGCCTTGTCTTCCACTCCAGCACCAAAGCCCTCCCTGCTTCCCTTTATGAGAAGCCTTTTTGCTTCTGGAAAACAGAAACCCTTTTGCTTCTGCAAGGGCGCATCTCCACCCTGCTTGCATAGCTTTGGCATCAGCATCATGCCCCTACTTGATGGTATCAGCCAGCCCTTGGCACACTGTATAAGCTCTTGTACTCCCACACCTTTGAACGCAGCCCAGCAGATTCTTTTCTTTTAATAAAGCTTGATCAGTAACCGGCGTCTCAGCTCACTTTCTTTCACTTACTTTGAAGAATTTATCTCTGTTTAAAACTGAGAGTTGATTTGGGGAAGTATTTTTAATATCTGCTTTTATTATATATTATATAAATTTAAATTTTACATGAGATCTGTTTTTAAAATTACATGCAATATGTATCACAAAGACTTAATCTCTTTAGTATACAAATATTTTTTCCAAATCAATAAGGAAAAAGTCATCACCTTAATAAAAAAATGGAAAACTGTCATTGAACAATTCACAAAATAAGACAGTCAAATGGTCAATTGAGATATGGAAAGACACCTTTCAGGAAGGAAATTTGGCAGGATCTATCAAAATGGGAAATGTGCATACTTTTTACTCATCATTCTCGTTTGAAAGATTAACCCTAAAGTATGATCTCAGAAGTGGAACAAGTTATATGCCAAGAAATATTCGTTGCTGAAGTATGTCGAGTAACAAATGGTTACATAAATTCTCATCATATATACAATTTATTATTATTATGAATTCATCACGCTTGTAATTTTACATACAATGAGACTATTTGATTCATTATTTTTCTCTGCCCATACATAGACGGTAGAATCCATGAGATTAAGGACTTCCAACTTTGTCTCCAGCAACTAGCTCATTTCCTAGTAGGCACTCAGGACATACTTGTTGAACAAACAAATGAATAAACTGAGTCCTTTCTTTACTTAATAGGCTGGAAGTGATGGGGAGAGTATTGGAAATTGTCCCTTTTGCCAACGCCTTTTCATGATACTCTGGCTTAAAGGAGTTAAATTCAACGTAACTACTGTTGACATGACCAGGTAAGAGAAATCAGAGTATGTTAAATTCTGGGGATTGATATGGGTAGATACCAATACAATGTTGGTGTTTGTATAATGTGTACTTTATCTAGAGGACTAATTCTGCTTATTTTCAATAATCATAGAAAGCCTGAAGAGCTGAAGGACTTAGCCCCAGGTACCAATCCTCCCTTCCTGGTGTATAACAAGGAGTTGAAAACAGACTTCATTAAAATTGAGGAGTTTCTAGAGCAGACACTGGCTCCTCCAAGGTACAGCATTTTACAGGACACTATTGTACTGAAGATAAACTATTTTATTGGCCTATTTATTGTAGATTGAGGATCCTGTTTTAGTCCGTTTTGTGTTGCTATAACAGAAATACCTGAGACTGGGTAATTTATAAAGAACAGAGGTTTATTTGGCTTATGATTCTGGGACAGCTGCATCTGGCATGAGCCTCAGGCTGCTTCTACTCATGGTGGAAAGTGGCAGGCAGCCGGTGGGTATAAGCAGATCACATGGCGAGAGGAAGCAAGAGAGAGAGAGGAGGTGCCCGGGTCCTTTAAACAACAAGCTTTCACGGGAACTCACTCATTTATCCGCCCTCCCCCAGGGAGAGCATCAATCCATTCATGAGGGATCCCCCCATGACTCAATCAGTTTCCAACACTGCCACATTGGGGATCAAATTTCCACATGAGTTTTGGAGGGGACAACACATCCAAACTCCATCATTCCGCCCCTGGCCCCCAAAACTCATGTTCCTCTCACATACAAAATACAATCATTCTATCCGAACAGTCCCGAAAGTCTTAGCTTGCTCCAGCACCAACTTAAAAGTCCAAAGTCCAAAGTCTTCTCTGAGACCAAAAGCAAAAGTCCTTCCAGATGTGAACATGAAAAACAAAACCAAATTTATCTACTGCCAAGATACAATGGTGGAACAGACATTGGTTACACATTCCCATTCCAAAAGGGAGGAATAGGCCAGAAGAAAGGAAAAACAGGCCCCAAACAAGTCTGAAACCCAGCAGGGCAGACATTATGTCTTAAAGCTCCAAAATAATGTTCTTTGACTCCAAGTCCTGCATCCTGGGCACAGTTGGGCATCTGGGCCCCCAAAGCATCAGGCAGCCTTGTTCCCGCAGCTCTGCCAGGCACAGCCCAGTGGGCCACGCTGGTGCCCGTGGCTTTTCCAGGCCTGTGTTGCACGTTACCAGTGGCCACAAAGTTCTGGGGTCCTGGCGGCAGCCCTGCTGCATTGGCTGTACTAGACATTTCCCTGGTGGGGGCTTCCTGTGGGGGCTCTGACCCCACTTTTCTGCTCAGCATTGCTCTAGTAGATGGCCTCTGCAGTGGCTCTGCCCCTGTGGCAGGTCTCTGCTGGGGCCCCCAGGCTTTTCCATACATTCTCTGGAATCTGGGTGGAGGCTGCCAGGCCTCCACTGCTCTCACATCCTGCCGGCCTGCAGACTTAACACAACATGGATGCCACCGAGGTTGCAGGCCTCTACTCTCCAGGGCTGCTGCACGAACCACAATTGGGGCCACTGCAGCCAGAGCAGCTGGGATGCAGGGAGCTGGATCCCAAGGGCAGCTGTGCCCCAGGTCTGTCCTCCAGGATAACTCAGTCCTTCTAGGTCTCAGGGCCTGTAATAGGTGGGACACCCTTCCAGACTTCTGAAATGCCTGCAGGGCTTTCCTCTCGTTTTCTCCGCTATTAGCATCTGGCTGCCTCACCACCAAGATAATGTCTTTAGTGACCAGTTTATCCGTTTCACCCTTGCATTTTTCTCCTGCTCTCCATTTCTTTACTGCATGGCCAGGCTGCAAATTGTCTAAATCTTTATGCTCTGATTCCCCTTTAAATTCTGGCTTTATGTCATGGCTTTGCTCCCATAACTCAGAGTAGGCTGTTAGAAGTAGCCATGCAGTGTTCTTAATGCTTTGCTGCTTAGAAATTTCTTCCACCAGATACTCTGGTTCACAATTCCTAAGTTCCAACTTCCACAAAGTCCTAGGGCATGAACACCATGCAGCCAAATTCTTTGCCAGTTCACAGCAAGGGTGATCTGTGCCCCAGTTTCCAATAAACTCCTTCTGATTTGTACTTCAGACCTCTTAGAATGGTCTTTACTCTCCATATTTCTATCAGCGTTCTGCTCACCACCAATCTCTAAAATGTTCCAAACATTCTCTCATCTTTTTGTCTTCTTCTAAGTCCTTCAAACTCCTCCAACCTTTGCCCATTACCCAGTTCCAAAGCTGCATCCACATTTTCAGGTATCTGTTTAGCAAGACCCCACTCGTCGGTACCAATTTTCTGTTTTAGTCCATTTTGTGTTGCTATAACAGAAATACCTGAGACTGGGTAATTTATTTTTATTTTTATTTTTATTTTTTTTCCTTTTTTTTGTCTTTTTTTCGTGACCGGCAACGGATTGCAACCCTCAGTGTCGCACCCGTACCGGACCGGGACTGGCAACGGGATCGCAACCCTCAGTGCTGCGCCCGCACCTCGCTCAGCCAGTGAGCGGCCGGTCTGTATGTGGGATC